AAGAAGGAGGCAAAGCTATCAAACTCCACTGTATTATTCACCAACAAGTTCTCTGTGCCAAACATCTGAAATATGATCATGTTATGAAACCGGTGATAAAGGCTATTAATTACATTCGCTCCAAAGCCCTGTGCCACCGCCAGTTTCAACAGTTTCTACTTGAAATCCAGGCTGAATACGGAGATGTTGTGTATCACAACGACGTAAGATGGCTCAGTCGGGGGTCTGCACTGCAGCGCTTCTACTCTCTTAGAGAGGAAATCAGACAATTCTTGGCAAAAAAAGGGACGACCGAGGCCAGAACTATCTGATCCTGTTTGGCTGGCTGATTTGGGATTTTTAGTTGACATAACACGACATCTTAACGCGCTGAACACAAGCCTTCAGGGGCAAAATGCAGTGATAAGCCAACTGTATTCACACATCAAAGCCTTTCGGACCAAGCTGCTACTTTTCCAAAGGCACCTGTCACAAGCGCAGCCCAATACCACACATTTCCCATCGCTGCAGGATATTATGACTAGCTTCCCACAGAACAATATCAGTGCACAAATGAGGAGGTATGCAGCAGACATCTCATCTCTGGTTGAGGAGTTTCAACAGCGCTTTCGGGATTTTGCAGCTATGAAAAGGAGATCACGCTTTTTTCCTCTCCTTTCTTCATGGACCCTGATGACGCTCTAGACCACCTGCAGCTGGAGCTCATTGAGCTGCAGTGTGACGCCGAGTGTCGCAGTCAGCACCAACAGCTCCCTCTTGTCAACTTCTACCGCCAGCTGGATGAAGGCAGGTTCCAAGAGATTCGAACATTCGCTAAGAAAATGCTGGACATACTTGTGCGAGAAGACAAGTCATGAACATTAATAAGAGCCGCGTGAGGACGAGACTAGGTGACTCTGATGCTAGGTATTTTTTAGTCAGATAGATATTGGTTAGATACTTGTATTAGAAATGTTTAGTGGAGACAGAATGTCTAGTTTAAATGCTTAGTCATTCTCATGAGTTTCTTGCAGGGTGCATTATGGTCAAGGATATCCAGATAGAAAAGTTTGTCAGCAGGCAGGAAGATTATTGTTATTATTATATGTGTAACCGTAATTGTAATCATAATATTTTATGTGTAATGTCATGACATGTCACTAGATGTCATGTCAGAATGTTCTTAGATACACACCACTTAATCAACACTCATACACATTGATTCTCTCCATGTTTTGACTACTGCTACGGTCAGCTGTAAAGCTGGCATATCAGGTGACGCCACGGTTTGACGTCCCTGCGTAGTATGGGGCTAGCCCAACCGAAGTGATAAAATGTATAAGCATTATGGTTCAGGGTCTTTCATTCTTCATCTGCCTGCGCGCAGTATTGGAGGTGGAAGTTACCTGGACGTGTAATGTTAATTTTACCTGTGATTCTTTGAATAAACCAGCACGGTTTTTTTTATATATACAAGTGGTCCGCTTTGTCTCTGAGAGTTCATGGTTAAAAGAACCGAAAATTACCCTACACTCACCTGCGTGACGTCTTGCGTATCAAAACCACTGTTTCTGAGCCAGACCTGGACTGCATACTGCAGTCAAGATCACAGTATCACCCTTCACATTAGTGCAGGCAAGATTAGTCCTCTGAGGTGAATAAATTCTAAAATCTCAGTGAATTGATTTTTTTTTTTTGCGATGAACAAAACCGCAGTTTTGAATATGCACTGAGTCTTTTCAATCAGTCTTTTGTTTTTCAAGTGACAATCAAACCGGGTCTAGTAAACCCAACAAATTAAATATTCAAATCTTAATCTTCCCAAAAGTTTTTTTTTCCAGGCAGACTTTTTCTTCATTTTATGTGGTCTTCAAATATGAAAGGCAGAGTCATTTTGGTAAAAACCTGAAAATGAAAAAAAAGTATATAAAAAAAGTATGCCATTTGCAATAAACATTTCCTAAAATAGTTCATTTGTATTTAATGTTAATGGTTCAAAGAATGTCAGGCTGAATGGT